TATAGAATTGGCAAGATAGGACATCTTGGCGTTTGAATTATTATTATCATGTTGCCTTGGCGGAGGTATGCGCTCTCTGAGTACTTCTAATTATTAGTACTATTATCATTACTATTATCACCATATCATCATCTTATTATGATCCCCACCACAGATATTCCAAAGGCAACCCCGCCTTCCGCCATTCCTCTTTTCCTCGTCACGGTATTTCGTCCCATCACTGACCCCCCCCCCCCTCTCCTCCCCCTACAGGCCGGCGACTTCGTGGTTGCGAGCAGCGTGTGCGAGCAGCTGGTGTCGGGGGCGCTGCGGGAGGGCTGGCTGGTGTGCGAGCAGCTGGGGCGCGCCCACCAGTTCGCCAACCTGCCGGCGCGGGCCAGGTTCCTCAACTTCGCGCTCACCTACGCCGATGCGAGCCACCTGGAGGACCTGCTGAATGCTAGGTGATTAGGAATTTACTTGTATTTTTTTTTCTTTCTTTCTTTTCTTTTCTTGTCTTTTTCTTTTGGGTGCATGGGGGGAATGTGGGATTCTGTTATTCTGTTACTCTGTTTTCTCTTTCGGATGTTGTTTTTTTCTCTTTATTTTCTCTTTTTATCTCTTTCTTTTATCTCTCTCTCTCTTTCTCCCCCCTCTCTCCCGCCTCCTCCCTCCTCTCCTACCTTCCACCCCTCCTCCTTTTCAGCCTCCTCTCTTCCAGCTCCACTTCTCCTCTTCCTTCTCCCCTTCCTCTCCCTCCCCCCCTTCACATCTTCCTTCTCCTCTTCCTTCTACTTTTTCCTCCTCCTCTCCTCCTCCTCATCCTCCTCTTCTCATTCTTCCGTTCTACTCCTCTTCACCATCATCAGCAGCATCATTATCTTCATATATACACATATATCCACACATTTATAATGTGCAGATATATGTGTGTGTGTGTATGATTATACACACTCACACACGTTTATATATAATATATATATATATATATATATATATATATAATATATATATTATATAGTATATATATATATATATATATATTTAGTGTGTGTGTTGTAGTGTGTTGGTGTTGTGTGTGTGTGTGTGTGTGTGTGTGTGTGTGTGTGTGTGTGTGTGTTTGTACGTGTGTGTGTGTGTGTGTGGTGTGTGTTGGTGTGTGTGTGTGTGTCGTGTGTGTGTGTGTGTGTGTGTGTGTGTGTGTTGCGCGCGCGCGCGCGTTTCTGTTCAACCAGATACAGCCTGATAGATTTCCCCTGCGAGAGTGTTCCAGAAACCACGACGTCCCTTGATAGCCGCGCGATAAGGCGCCAGGGCGGTCGACTCCCACGTCCATTGAAGTCTGACGTTGATGTATTGATGGATTTAATGTATTCCGAGAAAGGGAATTTACCTTTACTTCTTTTCTATTCAATTTTGGTGGCTATTGAAATGTATTTTAAGCGATTTCGCGTGCGTTGGAAATCCTGTTCGCATGATTTTGCTTTCGATTTTTTTCACTCTCTTTTTATTAATTCTTTTTATTTCATCCATCATCTATCTCTTTCGCTCTCTTTTCTCGCTCTCTCCTCTCCTTCCCTCCTTTTTCTCTCTCTTGCATTCCCTTTATCATTCGTCCCTCATTTACCCACGATTCTCCTCCTTCCAGAAATGAGGTGGAGATGGCCATTCTCTACGCCAAGGTCAACACGCAGATGGACACCGAAGACACGACAGAGGACTCGGACGATGCCGCCTCCGATGACCGTTTTGTTGATGCGCAATCGCATGTGAGTGGCTTCGTTATTATTTTGTTGCTATTGTTGGCACTGTTGTTCTACTTGATATTATTAACGCCATCATTATTGTTATTATTATTAATAATAATATTATTATCGTCGTTATTCTAATAGTTATCATTATTATCGTTGTTGTTATTATATAATTATGATTATTATTATATAATTATGATTATTAATTATTATTATCATCGTTGTACTAATTGATGTTATTATTAACATTATCGTTGTTGTTATTATATTATAATTATTATTATGATGATGATGATTATCATTATCATAATCATCGTCGTTCTAATCGTTAATATTATTACTTTCATTGTTATTATTAATTTCATTGTTATTGTCAATTTCATTGTTATTGTCATTGTCTTGCCATTGTTATCAGTATTGGTATTACCCGGATCCAGAATTTTATTTAATGATTGCATCAGTTACCCCTTTTGCCTTGTCGGGGGTATGCATTCTCACGAGCGCATATATACTTACATAGACCCTGGTCTTGAGTGCCTCTAGCAGGATAAGACGAAAGGTTATGAGCAGATGTTTATGGAAATTTTACCAGAAGGATGTCTTAGCCCAACTTAGATACCTTAGATTGCCTTGGCGGAGATATGCGTTCTCTGAGTGCTTCTAGTTATCATTGTTATTATTATTATTATTACAGCTACTATTGTTATTTTTTCTATTTTAACTTCAAATAATATATATTGTGAATTAAGAATAACAGGTTCCCAGATTTATACCAATAGGTAGTGACTTTAGAAACCAGAAACCAGAAAATATAATTTTTCATTTTGTATTTCCCCGCTTTGCATGCATTTGTTTGTCTTTCACACTAGTCAGTAAAAGAATTAATTCGAAAATTATTTTTGAATCACAGCCGCTTCCCCTGCGCATTCTGCATTTCGTTTTAATGTTGTCATCAGTTACACGACCTCCGTTTGAAAAGAAAGCGAAAGTTGGTCACAGCCCGAGAACTGCCTGTCACGGCCATGCTGATTTTTATCCCACATACTTTGGTTTTATATATGTTTGCCTTCTTAAAATATCTAGCTGTCTGTCTCCTTTTTCTCTATCTCTTCTCCCTTTCCAAGCCTCCCTCCATCCCTCTCTCTCTCTTTCATTCAGTCTTTCTTTCTTTCTTTCTCTTTCAGTCTCCTCTCACCCCTCCGTCTCTCTTTGTCTATCTATCTATTTGACAAAGAGAGACGGAGGGGTGAGAGGAGACTGAAAGAGAGAAGAGAGGAGAGAGTGAGGGAGTGAAAGAGTGAGAGTGAGAAAGTAGATTATATCTGTCAATCTACTTTCCTCCCTCCCTCCCTCCCTCCCATCTCATTCTCACTCTCACTCTTCTCTCTCTCTCTCTCTCTCTCTCTCTCTCTCTCTCTCTCTCTCTCTTCTTCTCTCTTCACTCTCTTCTCTCTCACTCTCTCTCTTCACTCTCTTCTCTTCACTCTCTCTCTTCACTCTTCTCTCTTCACTCTCTCTCTCTCTCTCTCTCTCTCTCTCTCTCTCTCTCTCTCTCTCTCTCTCTCTCATCTCTCTCTCTCTCTCTCTCTCTCTCTCTCTCCTCTCTCTCTCTCTCTCTCTCTCTCTCTCTCTCTCTCTCTCTCTCTCTCACTCTCACTCTCACTCTCTCACTCTCTCTTCCTCTCTCCTCTCTCTCTCTCTCTCTCTCTCTCTCTCTCTCTCTCTCTCCTCTCTCTCTCTTCTCTCTCTCTCTCTCTCTCTCTCTCTCTCTCTCTCTCTGAAAAATGTTGTTATGCCTTGTAAGTCATTATCTCCTATAGATGTTTCTTGACAATGCAGTTCTAATGCTTTCAGGTCAAGAAGTTGTATTACTTCCATCCTCTGTGTTGAGATGAGTAATTTTTGAAATTTAGAGTGGAAACTTTGACACACATGAATATTTGTACTGTGTATTTATCTATCTGTCAGTCTGTTTACATGTCTTCTTGCCCACTTACCCACATACCTACTTACCCAATTACTCATGTATTCCTAATATTTTACACAGAAAAAGTGTCTTCATATATAAATAATTATTATATTCTCCTTCCAGCAAATGCTTAGCGAAGAAGATGAGGAAAGGCTATAGGAAGATGCAGCGCCCAAGAAGATGAAGAACTGGAGGGACCACAGGAAGGAAAGTGAGAAGGAGGAGAGAGAAGATGAAGGAGGAAGAGGAGAGAAGAAGGAG